TGAACCAATAAAATCATCACATTTTAAAGCCATTCATTGGTCACATTACTACACTTAGTCATGGTAGGGGTGCGAATAACAAATCCTTAAATTAATTTGTGAAAATCCAGGATCAAATTTAATCAATGCTTGTTTCTATATCGAGTGATAATTTAAAATCAGAGATTGGTATTTGGAATCATGTTGGGGGAAAAATGTTTCAGTATGGGGTAAAGATGGTTTCAAAGAATTGAAAACTATATTAGAAGATATCAATGAAATATCTAAAGGCGATTTTTATAATAAGGTCATTCATTCCATGTAAATATTACTTTATTGATAATTAGCAACCAAGGTTACTTCTTTAAAAAGGTCCAAGACCAAGAATTAATCCCTAAGATGGCTTTTCTAGAGCAGTTTTTAGAAATGCTACAAATTGTAGTGTCAATGAAATTAAAGAAACAGGTGAGTTGATACAACAGAAGGTTAACATTTGTACTACAAAGGATTTCAGGGTTCATGATTTAATAGCCTCTATTATTACTATATATTAATTAGTAGTAGTGATTGACCATGATAAAAAACTAGATTAAAGATATATTTTATGAAGTCTTTGTTTTTATTTTATTATTGGCGTCAAAACAAAGGTAAATAATCTCATTTTGTGTTTGAAGATTATAAAATTATCAATTAATTCATTATTTTAGGTAAAAAAAATGGTACTACAAAACATTACTACAATATTTTTTCTATCAATATAAAGATGCTTACTTTCAACAGTGAACTTTTTTGCGGTTTGTTGATCGGACTTGTCCTTAGCTTCTTACGTTTATCATAAATCAAAAAATTGGCAAAATAGTCAATAAATAGAAAGTCTATGGATTTCAAGCAATTTTTTGATAAAAAAAGGCTGGGCTAAATCCAGACTTTCATTTAGCAAAAATGGCCATTGTAATTCGTGGATTATATGGAGAAGGAAAAGGAATTGTTGCCTCCACCATCAGAACGAAGAACAAATCCTCGAAGAAAAACAATAGAATGGATTAATAAAGAAAAGGACAAACAAATGGAAACGGAGATGGAGATAATGAAAATAATTAATGATCATCAAAAGGCATTCAATAGTGAAAGTCCGAGCGCCCAAGGAACAGGTAACACCCTTAAATACAAGTGCTGTTTATCTTGTTTATCTATTGGTTGAATTTAAAAAAACTTTTCTTATTCTTTGTTTCCTTAACTAGTCAAAATTATGCATAGTGATAGAAACTAATCGATCAATCAAACAAGTAAAATTTTTTTGTAAAAAACTTGTTTACGGGTTTGTCAAATTTTTTTACAAAAAAAAAGAACTAGAATATGCAAAAAAAAAAAAAAAAAAAAAAAAATTTAAAAAAAAAAAAATAAAGGAAAAATTAAATGAAGAAAGAATTATACTTAATGTCGGAGGAATAAAGGTAAAATAATAATAAATCTATGTATTTGAATATATATATTCAAAATATTTTAATAATAATAATAAATAATAATTAATAAATATATATAGTATGAAACTTATCGTTCGACATTAATAGCATTTCCCGAAACATTACTTGGCACAATGTTTCAAGAAAGGAATAATGAATTATTGAATTCAACAAATAACAATAATGAAAGTAATAAAGACGAATATTTTTTTGACAGGAACGGCAAAGCTTTTCATTATATTATGGAATGGTATCGTAATGGTGGCGAAATAATTTGGCATAATCACGATGGAGCAACGGTAGCAACAGAAGAAGGAAAAAATGATGATGTTAAATGTAAAGGAGGAGGAGAGGATGGTTGTTGCTCTTGTTGTTGCTCTTGTTATTATAGTTGTGTTAATAAATTGGAGGTGTTGAAAGAGTTTGATTATTTTCAAATCCCAATTAGTAACAACAACAATAACAACAACAATAATAATGTTATCAATAAAAATCATCACCAACACCATAAACATAGTTGTAATCATCTAATATTTAAATCATCGCCAATAATTATTGCTGATGATGAATATTTAGGAAGCAAGGTAGATAGGTTTATTACAGCTTTAATTGAAACAATTGATGATTATCGATGTGAGTTTGTTGAAGATTTTAGCATAACGTTTTATAAAAGAGAGAATTTTACAAGATCAAATAATGTTGTTAGTAATAATGGCAATTGTAGCTGTGGTAATAATAATGATAGTAATAATAAGAATAATAGTAAGAATAATAATAAAAATAGCAATAACAATAAATGTACTAGTAATAATTGCAGCAATATCAATATTAGCAACATTAATATTAATAATGATAGTGATAAATTAATAAGATTGAATCCAAGTTTAAAAAAATCAAATGAAAAATTAAAGGAATTTGAGATTTCAGGATATGGAATTATTAATAATTATTTATCATCAATAATTGGATTATTATTAGGAGGAGATGAGAATAATGACAACGAAGATAATAAAAATAGTAACAATAAATCAATTGATGAAATTCTTATGGTTCGTAGTGATGATTTAACACCTGTTGAAGAAAAATACATTCAATTAAATGTCTACTTGAATTATGATTATGATAAAATTTTTGAAAATATCAAGAAATTTAGCTTAGATTAATCATATATTCATTCTTATAAGACATATTTTTTATTTAAATATTAAATATATAATATGATATTTATAATAATATAATATGTATGTTAATATTACTTCTAATTCTAATAATAATAATTAATTTATTTCATTTAAAATATATATATATGTATATATGTATATATATGAAATATGTGCAGTATAAATAATATTCTAAGGTTTTAATTTTCTAATGATATAAATGATATAACATCTTAATCATCATCAATCATCTCCAACACCACCCACAACCTACCTATCTGTTATTGATGGTTTATATTTGAATAGTTGACTATTCTTGATGATCAGTTCAGGTTCAAGTTTGAATGAAATTTGTAATTCAATACCTGAAATAATTTTACCAGATCCAGAATCTTCGATTTTATAATCGCCATTAAACCAAGTCAATTTTATTGCTTTAAACAGATCTTCAAAATGTTCTTGCAAATTAGCTCCCATCAATATCAAGATCTGATAACCTGATGCTTCAAAAGGCAACAATTCCTCGATTGACAAATTAAATTTTCTCTGATGTAAATTGTTTGTCGAATGATTAAGTTGCTTTTCTGGTTGAATGTGTCTTGGCTGATGAGTTTGTTGTGTTAATGGTTGTATTGTTTGATCATTGTCAAAATTTGATATGTAGTTTATTTGATAATTCTCATTAAATCGTATGGTGAAATCTGATATATAATTCTTTATATGCAATTTTATAATGTTTTCCATCGCTATAATAAATTTATCCAATGTATCCGATGCTTCTTCAATACCATATTCAATATTTATGTTTCTTAAAGGTATTTGAAAATAATCTAATTCATATTTTAACTCTTCAAATGTTATATTATATACACAAGTCTTTTTATTGCCGTTACCGCTGCTGCTGTTACTGCTGCTACTGCTGCTGCTGCTGCTGTTGTTGTTGTTGTTACTATTGTTATTGTTGTCATAATCTTCTTCCTTTGACCAAAAAAATTTGCCTTTACGATACCATTCCATAATATAATGAAAAGCCTCGCCGTTACGATCAAAAAAATATTCATTTCCGTTTATAGGATCTAATAAATCTTTATTACTATCTTTAAACATTGTACCAAGTAAAGTTTCAGGATGGGCTGTCAATGTCGAACGATAAGTTTTATACTATATATATACATTTATATTTGTATTAGAAAATAACAGTAATAACAATAACGGGAAAAAGTATTAATATTGAAAAAAATAATCTTAAATCAAAAAACCTTAATTCCTCCAACATCAAGAATAATCTTTTCCTCATTCATGATTCAAATTGTTATAAAATTCTTTCGTTCGGTCACACAAACCAAATATCCAATTTTTAACAGTCGTTCCAGAAGTTGTTTTTTAAAATCTAAAATATTTCGGATTTGGCTAACAACAATTATTACTATGGATATTTGCTATTATGAAAATTGTGTTGTAATGGATTATCTGATTTGGTTTATATATGTGCCACTCACTTTATACATTTCCTTTTATCTTGCCGTGTGGCTTATCTAAACTCACTACATAAGGGCCTCCCAATTATACATAGGAAATATGGCCAAAGTTTCCATTTTATTAAAATAAAATTTTGATTCTTCAATTTGTTTGAAGTGGCCCCTCTTCTACCTCTGTATATATATATATATATATATATAATCCATCAAATGAAAATCGATTAACTAAGCTTATCAGAAAAAGGCTGATATGGCATTAGCTTTTAAAAAATCATGTGATCACGACATTAACGGCGGACTAAATTTCGGGATGAGTCGGATCTAATCGATCAAATTGAAATTTCTATAAAACAACAAAGCCGCGGCGAGTTCGAACAAAATATTTTACCAGGATTTGAAAGACTGTGTTCGAGCTATTACATCCCCGGAGAGCGAACTTTACTTAATATTCAAGTCGTATTTACTTGTTGGTTTTCGAGTAATTCAAGATCAAAGTTTTACAAGATGTGAAAACACACTTTTTCAAAAGCAACAAAATCAAGATTGGATCAATTAAAATCTTTGCTCAAGTTTTAAACACGTATATTGAGTTATTATCTCTTATCCGTAGAGCAGCTTTTACTTAATGTATAAGGTGTGTTTACTTTATGGTTTTTGAGTATTTCATGGTCGAAGTCGATGTGTGACATATATCGATCCGAATCAAGTTAATTTATATGGAACCCAAGGATTACCACCTATTCGAAACATTTTAAAAAGTACAGGGCGGAAAATTTGCTCCTCATATATTTAAATTAATGCCTGAAGATTATCTAAAGGGATTAAAAAATAGAAGATAGTCATCTTAAATTAGTTGTCAACATTTTGTGCTGGTTTGGACAAAATCCATCTTTCGCCAATTGGTGAATATTATTGTACTCTTGACGCTTGTGATCTATTGGAGTAGGTTTTAGTCAATATGGGAAAATGACAAGTCTTTAATATGTTTTATGATATTGGTTTTCAACAAATTAAATTCATGAAAGGGATCATTGGCAATTTGACAACTTCTTGGATTTTTGAATGTCATCTAGCTTTTTAAATAGACCTCCAAACTTGACTTGATATTTAAAGCCTTTTCCACCTTTATAACATTCAATTCTGTAATTGGCGTTTTTGGTTTCAATATTTTGTTATGTTCCATTTATTTCTATAATAAATTCTCCTTTATTCCCACCCTCCCTTCCAATAATTAGTTATACGGACAGTCGTTTTGATTTATTGATAATTCATTTATTATTTTTAATTTAATCGCTCAATTAATATCAAACCAATAGATAATTAAACAATCATTACTATAATTATGATTATTTTTTTACCACGCTCCAAGGCCATTCATTGGTTCAAGTAAAATTATTCAATAAATTGTCGCCAAATTCTAAGTCTAATTAATCTAATTTAGAAAAATAAAAAATAAATATTAATTTTGATTTTGATCATCATCTTGTTGACCCTGAGTATAATTCTGATAAATAGAATTCCACGCATGTAATAAAATATTAGGAAGTTGTAAAATATCTCCACGCCTTGCATGATTACGAGAAAGTCTACGAAATTCTTTGCTGACATTATAACTTCTAACAACACCTTCTGGTGAAACAAAATCTACTGCAACTTTAACACAAGCAGTATAATTACAAACTTGATGAGCACAACCTGCAGGTATGAAAATCATATCACCTGGATTCTGATAAATTCTCCAGCCTTTAACACCTTGTTCTTGTAATAACATTTCCTTTAATGTTTCGTTTAGGTAGTAACATTGGTCATGAATTGGATCGTCAATCCTTAGTCCTATTTTATTGGTGTAGCCATGTAAAAATTTTCGAATTTTTGGTAAATCATTTACGTGATAAAGATCCCAGACTGCTGCTGCTGGTTTTAATTGTTCATCCGGTAGTCTTTCATGAATTCCTGGTGCATATGTCATTAGATTAACCGCATCAGTTACATCAAGGTGAAGCCTTGTAGTTCCAACTCCCTTCAATCCATCCTCAGATCCATATGCATTATACATTTTAGGACCTAAATCTGGGCTTTTAATAAGATCATTGAAAAAATCAATTAAAAAATTATTAAAAGGTCAGATAAATAATATTCATGCATCATGAATGTAAATAATGAAATTAATTGCTTTACAACACTTACACAATATATTCTCTAGGTAATTGATTGACCAAATTCATATTACCATTGCGTGTCGAATATTGTGGGAATGGCATAGTAGACATAAAATCTTTAAAATGATCAGGAAATTTTCTAGCAAAATCTTGATTTGATGGCCAATCCTTTATTTTTAAAATATATATATATATTATATTATTAATAAAAAAACTTTTTTAGGAGGTTATAATAATAATAATAATAATAATTATTATTATTATTATTATTGATACATAAATATATTATACCTTTAATTTCAAACAAGTTATGTTTCTACGATATTTAGGTCTTTTTTCAAGGTTTACAAATCCATCGAAAAATTCTCTAACAGTTGTGTGAAAGATTTTGTCAGTCTTGCAATCGATAGTATCACATGGTGTATTACCATATCGTTTACTAAGATAATTTGGATTCCAAAATTGATCTTCATATTTCAAGTTCCTAATCACAAACGGATATCCTTTTTTCCAAAATTCGCGAAACTGTTCAATTGTCATTTCTCCATTATTCCATTCAAGTTGATTGTGGCTTTCGTGTGAATTGTCATAAATTTCTGAATCAATATCTTTAAGTTCATTTAAACCATCATTATCATTGCTGTTGTCGTTGTCGTCGGCTATAATGGGTGTGGGTATGGTATCAGAATTTTTTATGGTTTTTTCTTCAGTAATTATAGAGTCGTTATTTTGTTCATTTAACAACAATAATTGCTGGGTCGGTTCAGGATTGACAATAGTAGGTGTAAATTCAATTGATTCAATAGATTTAGATAATTCAATCGGTCCAAACGACTCCGTATTTTTTGTTGGTTCAATCAATTCCATTGGTTTTATTGGTTCGATCAACTCCATAGATTTCGATATTTCAGATTTCAGTGAATTTGTATATTCGGGTGATTCCATAGCTATTAACGTTGTCGCTGGGTTTGATGGATCATTAATTAATTCAGGGTTATTTTCATTGAATATTGGAATTGTATCGTCAACATTAAGTATTTTGCATGTTTCCTTGTATAATTTTTCAATTTCTGAACGTTGATAGAAACAGACACCCAACATATGTCTTTTTTCATGCCTACGTTTCAAGGAACATTTGCCAACTGTTCCAAATGTTTTTGGCGACAATTCATCCCATTCATCTAAAGAAGTATATGCTCTTTTTTTTGTTTTTTGTTTTAAAAGAAATTACTTTTATTCACATTATTATTTTGTAGGGCATTCAAGAATTATATACTTTTTTGTTAGAATATCCTGAATATGGCTTAAAAGTTGATGCATTTATTGCAAGTGCAGGAACATTTTTTCATAAATACATACAAAATGCTTTGGCAGAAATTGCAACGTGTGAAATGCGAGCTCATGGATTGTTGCCAAAAGAAGCCATCATCAACAAAAATAATAAACTAACCACTACCACTATGCCAATACAAAATGACAAATCATTTGAAACTAATTCAAATCATTTTCCATATCATAATAATTGCGAAGAATTACCAAATTCTGCTTTGTCAAGGTCTACAATGTCTACACCGGAATTTAATTTGTCAGGTAGCGTTTTATTAATCATTTATACTATTATCATTATTATACCAAATAAAATAAAAAAATTTAAAATAAGAAATAAAATAAATAATAAAAAATAGACGAGTTCAGAGAAAAGATTGCCAGAGAAACCTTTGAACAAACTAGGTCACGTCTTCATAATATCTTTCAATATGAAAAGTATAAGGTATGAATGAACGAATTTGATTGATTGATTGGCTATTGTAAGGTTGTAAATATGATAACTAAAAATTTATCATTATTATTATTAA